AAGCAGTGGTATCAACGCAGAGTACTCAACATCGAATGATAGATCTTGATACACGAGTTATCAAGACCTATCATTCGATGTTGAATCTAGTCATTCGAGAAAGACAACGGGTTTTGTATTCCACTTTATTGAAATGTTCGTGTAAAGAATTGAGTTGTAAACGTCTTCTGCCTGAAGATGTGTGGAGGACAATTGAAAGTGGGTCGAGGACCATTTGCAGTTCTATACGATCTAAGGCTAAATCGAAGCTTTGCAAGAAATTCGACCAACTCTCGGGATCACTGCATGGGAAACTTGACGATGATGAGACGATCTTTCCTCAAGACCACCGTTTTACTGATTTGTCCTTTCAGAATGATATTGATTCTGCAAGAGTCACTGTCATCGGAGACATTCATTTATCAACGCATGCTATTCGGTTTCTTAGCCTCGGTCCATCGTTTGCACCATCGCAAAACGTAAGTCCCTTTATGTGCCGAAAAATAAAGGGAAGTTTACATCATTTGCGAGATTCTTTGAGAATCAAGGCTAGACAAGAAAGCGGTACTCGTCAACTGTTACCAATGGATAGCATGACTTTGCCAATAATACCATTTCCTCGCTTCTTTTATAAAGAACCCGAGCCTGTGCCCACAGTAGATACGAAATTTCGCATCCTTTCTACCGAAATCTTGCATGTTTTGAACAAATTTGAACGGGTACGTCAGACCAACATTACGCAAGAACAGTGGCAAGGTTTTAGAGAGGTGCGTGAATTAACAGACGTAGGAACAATCGGAGTTTCCATAAGTGACAAATGCGGGGAATTTGTGATTATGCCACAATCGTTGGATCGAAAGATTGCACAGATGCATCTCTCCGATACCACGATTTACCAACCTGCTACAAAGCGAGAATATCAGTCACAATGTAAAAAGTTGAATGAGGTTTGGATCAGTGTCGGAAAGTCTGCCGGGCTTGACGATAAGTTGATCAGCAGATTGAAGCTAGATAATCCTAACTGCCCGGTTTTTTACCACCTGATCAAGACGCATAAAGTAGCAGATAATTAATTTCAATCTATGTCACCCGACTCATACAAAATTCGTCCGATAATAAGCTGCGTAGGCGGTCCCACTGATCGAATATCGTGGTTTCTTAATAAGATCGTGAGCCAACTATTAGCCAAGGTACCAGCACATTTGTCTAACACCCAACAATTTGTCGAGCAGTTGCGAAGCATGCGTTTTGAACAAAATAGTGTTATCGAGTCTTTTGATGTAACATCACTTTACACTAATGTTCATAACAGTGCCGCTCTGCAAGCCATTTCGGAGATGCTGGACAAATACTATTCCACCATGGTCATCTTCGGGCTGAGCAAAACGTGCATACTGACCCTCATTGAAGCATGTTTGAGTTGTAACATTTTTAAGTGGTCTGGGAATTACTATTTCCAGATCAGAGGACTTGCGATGGGTCAAAGACTCGCGCAAGTCCTGGCGATTTGTTTTATGAGTAAAATTGAGGAGCCAGTATTAGCACGCTTGCCATCAATGTACTGTCGCTATATCGACGACTGCTGCGTTATCACCTCAACACAGTCCGAAACGGACGAGTGTTTCAGAATATCAAATCAGCAGTCCCAGTACATAAAGCTTACACGAGAAACCCCGCACAGTGGCCGGCTTTCTTTTCTGAACACCCAGGTGAATTTGTCTGACGGTACAGTTCGAATCAAGTGGTACAGAAAAGAAAGCTCCAAAAGCATCCTTGTCCACGCCACGTCAGCGCATCCTACAGCTCTAAAGCGTTCCGTTATCCATAACATGTACAAAACCGCTGCCGAAATCTGTGCGGGCGAGAGCGAACGATTAGAGTCACTACAACTAGCACGCAAAATTGCTCGCAGCAATGGATATATAACGCAATCACGGCAAAGACCATCTAGATGCGTAAACGAATCTAGGCGGAGCAACGAGAACAAAATTCCCCTTTGCATGCCTTTTGTATCCGACAAATTTAGTGAGGCCATTAAACGATGCATAGCACGAGCGCAGTTACAGAACGAAGTAATGCTGGTCAACATTCCTAGCAATACTATCAGAAAGCGGTTAATCAGAAATAGATTGTATGATACAGACTGTATATCTGAAAACTGCATCGTCTGCCCATACGGGAAGTTAGGTGATTGTGCAAAGCAGGGTATTGTTTACCAGTTAGAGTGCTTAAGTTGTGGAACAACTTATATAGGAGAAACCGGAAGGATACTAAGTGTTAGATTGAAGGAACATCTGGCCAGCAAAAAGCGGGGTACAATGTCATCACCATTAGGTAAACATAGAGTCGAGGCACATAAAGGTGACGATTTTAATGTAAAATGCACGATATTAGCGTATGAGACTAAAATTTCGGCAAGAAAGACGTTAGAGGCAGCATGGATATCCGCCGGAAATCCGGGATGAATAACAAAAATGAATGCTTGACAATGACCAGTGACCTCCTGCCTTTCAAATCATTATGTCATCTATAAGCAGACTGTATATATAGCTTTGACTCACTGAGCACCCCTCAGTGATGTCCGTCACAGTCGTGCGGACTACTAACTCCACGGTGGACTGAAGGTTGGTGACTCCACTTCAGATTGTTTTACAGTACGTTGAGCCTAGACAAGGTCTAAATGCCGCAAGCTAGAAGAGGCGTTTGGTCGTATAAACTGACGAATACAAAACCGCAATCCCTTTCAGGCCTCCGAAGAAGATGATATTTGTCGAAACGTTAGGCAATAAAGGTCCACCATAAAAACCTCTCTGGCACAAAATCAAACCAAAATCACTTATTTCTGTTTTTATTGGAAAGAACTGTTAACAAAGTTATGAAGTTTTCGTGATTACAATTTGATTGAGGTCTATGATTTGATATTAAGCTTTCCGCAGGGCGATCGAGGTCGAATTTTATTGCAAAAAGCAAGGCAGCAAAAAGTACGTACTTCAAACACTGAGCGAATCTCATCAATTTGTGATCTGTTCTTCTATAAAGGCAGAATCTTGGCATTAGTAAACCATATGCAGACTTCCAGAAGATGACTAGCAGGCTAATGACTAAGCTGTATTTCATGGTGAAGCACAATATCGATTACCAAGAAAAAATGTTCTCAACAAATTTTATAGGCCATAGAAATTCAATGAAATCTTACTGTTCTCTTGAACGATTTCTTTATCGTGTAAATCAAAATTTTTTGACTTTTTTTTGAAAGACTAATGAGTTCGAAGAGGAGAGGAACAACAGCGAGAATTGCCGCAGGATCATTGAAAAAATTTGAGAGAAGCGACTAATACGACAGTTTAAAGCTGCTGATCAATATACAGGGTGTCCCAAAAAAATGTGAACACTGTTTGATCGTTAATAACTCCGTTGGTTTCATGTCTTTCGCCGAGCTTAAGGCACCATTTTGTAGAGCAAGGTTCAACTTAGATTTACAGCATGGAGCGAAACATCGATCGCTCTTCGTTACTGTAGGATTACGGTATGAACTTTCAGCATGTGGATCCACTGTGAAATATGCCATTTGACAAAATTTTTTCCAAAAAATCTGTAAAATCGTATACTAGGGTTTTCGGGCACCCTGATTCTGCTGCACAACTTTTTACAAGTGTTTTTAGCTTTTTTGACGGTGTAATCACATTTCTGACAAATGCTGGAAAGTCGGTTATTACGGTTTACTTGGGATAACCATGGAAAGAAGCATCGCAGTAAAGTGAAAATTTCATATTCGAAATCAGCGGCTGCCATTACCTAGTATAAGAGTTTTTGGCTTGTTGCTTTGTTCCGAGGCAGAATATGGCCTCCAATAACCTAAAATCCTTGTCGAAGTTCCTACCGTAATCCTACAGT